AAAATAATGTAAAAATATGCAAGAGTTAAAAAATATGTTTATAAATTCAAATTTTAAAATGCATTCATATCAATTAAAAATTGTACAAACAGTTGTACAGTACAGGGCTAGTGCGACGATCGACGTGGACGTCGACCGCCACTAAAGTCGCATTGTTTTGGGCCTAGACAAAACTAAGGTACAAACAACAAATGGTACAAACAGGGTTACATGACGATCGACGCGTAAGTCGACCGCCACTAAAGTCACATTGTTTTGGGCCTAGACAAAACCAAGGTACAAACAACAAGTTCAACTTGTCAAGTTGTACAAACAGGGTTACAGTGACGATCGACGCGTAGATCGACCGCCACTAAAGTCACATTGTTTTGAGCCACCGTCCGCTCGTTATTAGCGCGATTCTGTTTATAAAATCAGTTTAAACTTCAAAATTAAATTTTTAGAGAAGATTCCTGTCATACTGGACAAGATTACTATCGCAACGAAGAGTCATAACTAATGGGTCATCGGTAGTGTAAAACCATGGTACTAAGTATAAGTACCGTGGTGTGAAACTAACCTGTCTCGCGACGGTCTAAAATAGGCTTGCTCTTGCCGAGTGTTTTGACTATCGAGTGAAAATCAGGGAACATTCTCAATACTAAAGTTGTTTGCGCAATTTTATTATTGTACATATTCATGACGTTCATTTGACAGTCAAAATATTCGGTAGGAACAAACCTAACAATATGGTAGTTACTATCTAGTGGTGAAAAATAATAAATGAATGAAATCTTTGATGAAAAATACACAACATTAAAAATTTGAAATTATAAAAATATTGAAAAAAAAACAAATAAAAACTAAGATTTAAAAAATTACGGATAACGTTGTGAGATATGTAATATTAAATTACTGAAGCGATTGGCTGCAAAAATTTTGTTGATTATGTTGTAAAAAAAAAATTGTGTAAAAGATTAAAATTTTCGATCATCATCATAGGCTCGCCCAACGCAATTAAAGATCAAAATGTTCAAAACAATTTGTTCTTAACTTATTTCGATCGGAAATTTTATGCTCTACAAAAAAGGTCCTTACACAAAATTACTTCAGATAGATAGTTTCAGAAATTTGTTCATTATTTTGTAAAAAAAAATTGTGTAAAAGATTAAAATTTTCGATCAACATCCTAGGCTCGCCCAACGCAATTAAAGATCAAAATATTCAAAAAAGAATTTTCTTAACTTATTTCGATTGGAAATTTTATGCTCTTCAAAAAAGGTCCTTACACAAAATTACTTCAGATGGATAGTTTCAGAAATAAACCCGATTTTAGTATCAACATTTTTTTGAACATTTTGATCTTTAATTGCGTTGGGCGAGCCTACGATGTTGATCGAAAATTTTAATCTTTTACACAATTTTTTTTTTACAACATAATGAACAAAATTTTTGCTATTACTAAACGAAATTCTAAAAAAGCGGATTTTCGGCCCACCCTACTCCATAAAGACCATTCCATAAAAATTGGTAAATATATTCGTATAAAAATGGAGAACCAATTACTCCGAACCGCCGTAAATATTGCTTGAGCTTGCTCCAATAGCCTTCCATATGAGTGGTACATACACCGGTCACTGGATCTCGAAAATATCGAGAATGGTTAACAGTGCGGTGTATATATCCATGATGTGGAAGACTATTGTAGCCTCTCCACATGTCGGTCCAGATCTCACTCCCGGCTCTCACGTGGTTTTGGATTATAACAATAAATATTTAATTTTAAATCAAAAAATAATAATTTTACCATTTCTAAAGTTGGCAACATTGCAAGAAATGGCTTTGTCATTGGAAATTATGACAGTTTAAAATTCAGTGTGGTACATAGAAAAGGTGACAGTTTTAAGTGTGTTGAATTTAACACTAGAAACATATATTTTAGTAAAATTTTAGTTTTTCCGCACCTAAATATGCTTAAAATAGTGTATTATATTCATTTATGACATAAATTTACAATAAAAATTGGAATTTAAGGGTGAGTTTTGTCTTTGAGTCGTCAGTCCATCGCGACGGGGGTCTGGAAGTTTTGAGATTAAATCTTCTATCTCAACGGAAAACTCTTGTTTCTGTTCTTTGACGAATTTGTTTTTGTTTGAATATAGACTCATTTCAGGTATCTCACCATTATGTTAGGGAAAATTTTTGTTAACTCAGCCACGTAATAGTGTTGTGATTTTTTTCCTTCCAGTAGAATTCACGCTAGGAGTCTTGGTCAAAATACTGTCACGTTCCGTTTCGCTTTGCTCATCATCGATAAAGTCGTCCGTCGCATCTAAATCTGAACCATCGTCACAAATAACGCTTTTAGAACTACTTCCTTTTGATGAAGTTTCTTGGAGCAACTGTCTTTTAACATTGTTTTTTTTCTTTGTATCATTTTTACGTTTCTTACTCGGCCTTTCTGCATGACATCTTTCCACTTTCTCTTTCTCTGGTGTATCTGAATATTCTGCATGATCCTCTCTTGCGCCCTCTCGACGTAGAGGCTCTAGGAGCAGCCTTTGGGAATGGGCGAACCATTTAATGTGATGTATAAAAATCATCATTGGTTCTATTTACGGGCCCCCCTTTAAGAGACTCGGGCGCATGCTCGAGATCCTGCTCAGGCCCGGGCTCCGTGTCAATAGGTCGGTCTATTACTGCAGATCCTATAAATTCTTGAAACATGTTTTTATTCAAAGGGCAAATGCTTGACACCCTAAACCTTGACTGAATATTCCCTGGAGTGATATAGCTCAATTAGACCAGGCACTGGGATGAGCATCACCTATGGATCCAGCTGGCGCTCCCTTCAACATAAAATCTTTGAAGTGGAACCTAGGAACGACGTACAAAGGTAGAATACTAATTCCTAAAGCATTGATTCATGAGATGAAAGTCAGATTGGTCCTGCGTTCTCCCGATGTTGCACTTAATAAACTTACCGGACAATAATTTTTGAGGATATTTTATCACAAAACTGTTCAGGTTTGCTAGACTATCAGTGGATTAAGCGTGAACTAATGTCGCGGGGGGAGCGCTATAGTCCGATGAATGTACGATGGAATCGCTAATCGAAGTCAAAATTATTTTGAAAATTATTAGCCTCGTTTTTGTTTACTACAGTCCACATTTACCCCAACTGTATTTTTTATGAGTATGAGTATGGAAACGTATGGCAGGCCCCATCGACATTATCTTACACTAATCTCCCAGGGTTATTTAACCCCCTTTCCGTTCTCCTACGCATCCCGCCAATTCACAGCATTACATGTGTTTGTTGGATCCGAAGTTTTTACGCCGGCTGGTAGATCCACCCTAGGAGGTCGTGGATGACAGTGTCGATGGTTAAGGCCACTCCCGGATTTTTGTCAGCCGGGTCGGGCCATACGTCCAATTTAGGCTAGAGAAGTGCGGGATAAGGAGGGCTAGTGGTGGTTTTTGGAGGACATTGAACTGACCCAAAAACAAGTACAATCCGGAATCCTCCTCAACCTGGTTTCAACCCCGCCGTAAGTGCCCTCTGCTTTCGTGGATATTCCTCAGTACCGGCTACCGACCTTGTATATTCTTTATTAGTTTTATTGTTAAATTAGTGTTTATACCGTTTATATTTAATTTATATCTTTGCATTCTTACTTTTTTTTCCAAATTTAATTTAAAAATATAAATATTAATATACAAAATAGATAAAGCCGGCCCTGTGGCGTATCGTATTAAAATATACGGCCCTAATGGCAGGCGTGTAACGAATGCTTTAAATATATGGTTTATTTACGTGGTCGTTTTGTTTATTAGGAGACTGTTTATTTACTATATAATATATATAATACAATAATATAATACTTAATTTCTTTTTTTTACTCCTACGCTGTTTTCGGTAATGATTAATTGTTGCCAGGTTTTTGTTACAGATTTGCGTATTAGGTCATACAATAATACTTATCAGAATATGCAGGTGATGATCCCTTCCACTCTTGGTTAGACTCGTTTTTTCTTTAAATAGGTGATTCCTTGACCTGTCCCCTGTCACTTTATTACTTCCGTATCCGCAAGGAACTCACCCCTGTGTTCACCGTTGAGAGATTGCCTTTTGAGGAACTATTTAATGTTTCTATTAACCCCTTGGAGAACAGGTACCCTGATTTCACCTGTACAGGTATGTAGTAACCCAAAATAGTAGCACTGTTTCGCACCGCACTTTATTCGACTAGTGTATATAATATTTATGTTTCTTTAAGAACTTTTTCTACTCCCACCTTTAAAACGCCCTTTATCGTACATGTTTCCATGAAACTAGGTGATCTTTTAAATACACATTGACAAGTTGTGGCCGGCAGTAAACTGTAACTTAAATTCGAGCACGGACTCCACTGTAAAGTGCTCATAAAACATTTTCTTTACTTTCACTGTGAAAAACTCAATTTTCAAGAAATACATTTCGATTTATAACCTTTATAATCTGTGTTTATAAAATATAAAAAATTGACATTTGACGGTGACACACATTTGTTTCATAGATGGCGCTCTATACAAATTTTTGATTTAAATCATTTTAAGTTAATAATAAGTATTTGTCGTAGAAAAAGTATAGTATGCACCTCGTTTATAAACTTTTCTATACACTCTATAATTTAAGCACTCGCTCGCAAGCTCGCTCGTGCCTAAATTAAATTCTTGTATAAAATGGCGTTTATCAAACTTGATACATAATATACTATTATTGTGGATAGGAACTAAGAGCGCTCGAACTACACATCCACTCTCTTCCCCGTATTATTTAAAACTGATTTACCCTAACTGTATTTTTTAGTAGATTTTATGTAGCGTTAATCGGTGATACTAAAAAAACGTCGATTATTTAAAAATCCAGCATTAAACAATCGATTCTTAAAATATACTTTTAAAAAAATCGATTTTATGATAATCGATTCAAAATTGCCATCCCTAAAATAGATATTATTTTAAAACTTGTCTTTTAGCTTCATAGAGAGTTCGATTTGATGAGAGAAGATCGTTATGATGTAAGTGCAAAGCTCAGATGGCCAATGTGGATATATTGGGCTCAATTCCTAGGAGTAATGGCAGGTTGTTTTGCAGTTTATGCATTAGCAGAACGTGTAAAAATGTTCCCTGCTGTTATACCAAGACAGTATCCAAGTCAAGGTAAAATTCATTACACATTTGAGCAAAATTAATTTATAATTTAAAATGTACAGCTTATTGTTTTCAATAAAAAATTATATAGGTATAAAGTTTTATTGTTAAAATATAATTGCTATCCTAACACTATTTTTATCTACATATGTCTCTGTGAGTCATTATTTTTAGAAATGCATTTTATTAAAGACTTGAAATCTGTTTGTCAGATGACTCCAGTTCAGCTTTTATTCTGTAGTAAAGTAACCAAGTGTATATAACAGTGACGGTTTTTCCATAGGAGCACATAAGCACGTGCACCCTCATACAGAATTTAAAAGTTATAATAAAATGTTTAATTTATGATTTATAGTATTTTTCGTAAAGTTTTCGAACCTTGTGGTGTGCTGTACGAAATATTGCAACCTAAGCACTGACCCACTAATTGCTATATAATGTATATGTAATGCAATGTGACGGGGAGTCGAGCTCGGATACCAAAGTAAAGGTATGATGAGAATAAAATCCAAGTGTAAACCAATGTTGATGTTTTACTAGTTTCCCTGTGACCCAAACCTTTACATGGCGACCGCGATCACGGATGAAATCGCTGACATTGACGGTGTAATCCGCGCGTTAAAAGAAAATTGCAAAGGTGAAAAATCGAGCGTACTAGAAAATAAATTAAATAATTTTAAACAAAACGGGAAAGATTCAATTACTTTCACAAAACAAGTTGACGAGTTATCATCGGCCTTACTTCACGCATATATTTCGGAAGGAGTCCCTATCGAGACAGCAAAAAATTTTGCAAAAAATCGTACAGTAAAAGCAATGGCCAGCAATGCGCGTTCGGAAAAAAACTCGTCTTGCAATGGAAATCGGTACGTTTGATACGGTTCAGGACGCTTTAACAAAATTTGTTAGTTTCGACAGTACGGAGAACAACAATACTGTTATTTTTAAAACAGTATATAATAGTAATCGCGGAAATCGCAACTGGTATCAAAATCAAAATTATGGCAACGAACGACCTCGTCATGAACACCAAGGCCAAGGAAGCAGAGGATCGCGTTACAATAATTACAGCCGGTCAAGTTACCATAACAATAATAATAGGTCTCAGCGCCCAGGAAATAACCAAAATTATGTACGTTCGTATCAAACAACGACCATACAGAATTCGGAAAACTCCAACCACCCCCACCCGGGTCGGTTGGGGGACAACATGTAAATTCAGTCAATACCTATAATCTTTCATTATCTAATTTTGTCACAGTAGAAACAGAAATGACCTTAGGAACATGTGCTTTTCTTATTGACACCGGGGCAGATATTTCTTTAGTTTAAAATAACAAAATAAATATCCAACATCCAACTTATACTCAAAAGTGTACTATACACGGAGTAACCAGTTCCACAGCAGAGTCTTCTTTAGCAACCATATCAAAATTATACATTAACCATAACGTTATTAACCATAATTTTCAAATAGTCGATAGTTCGTTTCCGATACCAGGTGACGGTATTCTTGGTAGAGACTTTCTTATTAAATTTAAATGCATTTTAGATTATAACAATTGGACTTTAACAATAAATACAAATCAAAACATAAATATGTTACCTGTTTGCAGTGGCCCGGAGGAAAATAGTTTTGTTTTACCAGCTTGGTCAGAACAACTCGCGAAATAACTCTTAGTAACAATTTTGACCAATCTCTAATACACGATCAGCAAATATCGCCGGGAATATTTGTCAAACGTTCAATTGTCAAAGGCTCAAAAGTGCTAGTGACTTTTCTTAAAACAAATTCTTCAAATATTACTTTACAAAACATTAACCTTAAAACTGACGATTTAAATAATTTTCACATAGATAACAAATTTCCTTCTTTTGTAGCCAAAGATTTATCTGAACTCTGTAAAGAATTTTCAGACGTTTTTGCTCTAAAATCCGATTTTTTAACGCACAATAATTTTTATGAACAAACACTTCATACGTCAGATAATCAACCAGTTTACACCAAAAATTATAGAATTCCACACTCGCAAATATAAACGCCTAGGTTACAAAAATGTACAAAAATGACATTATAGAACCATCAGTTAGCAGTTATAATTCACCTGTTCTATTAGTACAAAAAATGGAGATTAGTTATAGACTTTAGACAAGTAAACAAAAAAATAATTGCCGATCGTTATCCCAGAATCGATGATATTTTTTTTTTTATTATTATTATTTTTAATGTGCCTTCAACAGGCACCAGGCCCAATTACAGAAGTACACAATGACAAACACAAATAAACAGCCATACCCCTGGTGGGATTCGAACCCACGACCTTTTAGATCAGTTAGGACGTGCAAAATGGTTCTCAGTTTTAGATCTAATGTCAGGGTTTTATCAAGTTCCTCTTGAAGAAAATTCGAGAGATATTACAAGTTTTACGCGTAGACTCAGGAACTTTTCGTTTTAAAAGATTACCTTTTGGTTTATCTGTGAGCCCTAATAGTTTTCAGCGTATAATGAACATCGCATTCGCATCACTCCCACCTGAAAAGGCTTTTATGTATATGGATGATCTAATTGTAACAGGCTGCTCAGAAAAGCATCATTTAAATAATCTTAAAGAAGTTTTTGAACTATGCAGAAAACATTGCCTTAAACTCAATTCCGAAAAATGTCAATTCTTCAGAACCGACGTAACATATCGATTAACAGACCAAGGAATTCTACCAGATGAATCTAAATTTGAGATTATCAAAAATTATCCTAGACCGGACAATGCGGATGCAGTTAAACGTTTCGTAGCGTTCTGTAATTACTACCGAAAGTTTATAAAAAATTTTGCTGAAAAAACAATTTCTTCAAACAAACTCACGCGTAAAAACACAAATTTTGAAAAATTATTTCAAAATTTAAAGCAATCCTTAATGCATCCACCTATATTACAATATCCGCAGTTTGACAAACCATTTATTATAACAACCGACGGCAAAACTGGCCTGCGGCAGGGTTGCCAGGTATGGCTAATTTTAGCCAAATTGGCTACTTTTTAAATCCAATGGCTAAAAAAATATCAGTTTGGCGTACCTATGGCTATAAAAGTTGGCTATATTTCAAAATGTTTGGTGATTTTTTGGCTAATACAGGCAACAACTGCTAATACATGTTAGATGCACTGTGTTGTCAACATTTGAGTTTTATTATTTATTAATACAAGTACTTCGTTCAAAACAAATAAGCCCGTGTGGTCTAGGTTGCCTGCACGTTTTCTATGGTACTAGTTCTCTAACCTTTATATATTATATATTATATATTATTATATATATATATATTATATATATATATATATATATATATATATTATATATATTATATATTATATATATTATTATATATATATATATATATATATATATATATATATATATATATATATATATATATATATATATATATATATTATATATATTATATATTATTTATATATTATCTGTGGATCTTAGCTATTAATTTTTTTTTATGTATTTAATGAAATGTTTCAAACAAATAAGTATTAAATGTAATTAGATCTAAATATAAGTAATGCAGAATCAGATGATTACTTAACAGGAAGTATAAATCTTATTGGTGATAATTTTGAAGTTCCTTGTATTTCAGAAAATTAGTTTTTGTTTTTATGTAACCTCGCAAGAATAACTAATTTAGGTAATAGGTATTTTGTTTTATTGTTAATGTTATTATTATTTATTGCTAATTTGAATTTTTTTTTAACAGTTGGCTTATTCTTGGCTATTTGTTTTTTTTAACAGTTGGCTATTTCATGGCTATTTTATTCAGTCCAACCATAGAAATAATACTCTACTATTATTTCTATGAGTCCAACTGGCTAAATTGTATTTTACATACCTGGCAAGTTGCCAGTGGCAACCCTGTACCTAGGTACTTATAACAAATGTAACCCACTTTATTGTTTTATTAAAAAATTAATACTTTTTTTTCTGTTTTGTACCAAAAACCAAATCTGGGGAATTTTAGCCTAATATGGCAACTTCTAGAAAAAATATGAGGAAATTACGTTGTATGCATAGATAACAAAGGTTCATGCTATGGAGCTAAACATGAACAGCAAAGAGGATTTTATAGTAGACAAAAAAAATGTTTTGCAAAGTAGCATAATTAATTCCACATTAAGAGACTGGCAATGCTTAAAATGTGAAATCACAGCGACTAATTTGATGTATCCTGTTTTTCTGATGTAAGTGAGGTTATGTAAGGGCTTTTCATTTTAAAAACATATTTTTTAGAGAAAATGACGATGACATACAACCTATTGAAAGTATGCCAGGAATATCCAGATTTGGTATAAATAAACTAAGAGATCACTTAGAAATTCAAGTTTGTAATGGTTTAAAATCAATTCTTGTCTTTGGTGTTATAGAGACGCTACCTAAGGTAAAAGTACATTTATAGGTACATACTTACATTTAAACATAAATAAATAACAGTATTTTTTAGGATAAAATTGCTACTCATGCCGATAGCAAGGCAAATCCAGTTATAAAATCTTTGCCTCTACTTCGTAAGTGGTTTCCAGAAGTAACTATTGCATGTGATGTTTGTTTGTGTCCTTATTCTGAAAGTGGACACTGTGGAATTTTAAACAATGATGGTTCAATTAATAATACAGCCAGCCTAAAAAGGATAGGAGAAATTGCCCTGGCTTATGCCAAAGCAGGTTAGTTAATATTCCATTTAGCTAACTTATATTCCAACATTTTATTGTAGGAGCTCATATTGTTGCACCATCTGACATGATGGATGGCCGAATAGGTGCAATAAAGAGTATTTTACAAGCACACAATCTTCTTAATAAAGTAGCAGTTTTATCTTATACTGCAAAATTTGCCTCCAGTTTTTATGGACCCTTTAGGTAATTAAACTAGATAGGTATAAAAGGTTAAATTAAAATTAAGTCTACAGTAGGAACTACATTTGTATGAACATTGCCAACTTTATATAATTATGATATGGTATAATTATTTAAAAGTAAATATATTTTTTAAATAAATAGTAATAACCTTTGGGTCAATTATTATGTGGCACAGTATGAACAATTTTTGCCCAATCAGCCATCTGTCATATTTTACCAAATGTTGTGTAATTGTTATTATATAACCCAAATTTTTACTACGAAAAACATGAGTTTATGCTTAGACCATATACCCACAATTTTGCTGTATTGTCCAGAATTTTACAGCAGAATGTACAGCATTTGCTTAAAGTCCTCAATTTTTGTTTAAACTTCTAGCCTAGTGCCATCTAACTAAGGTTGTGAAATTGACCGGTCAAATTGTTTTTGACTGGTCAATTGACCAAAACAAAATTACTTTTAATATTATATTATATGCTCGTACACAAATGATAAAGTGATAAACCTTTGAATATTTAAAGCGATAAACAAAATAATACATATACAAATGTACCCCAGTAGCACAAAATATTGGTCCTATCCCAGATAGCACAGAGACATCTAAAAGATATCTTAAAGATGTCGGACTCGGACGTTTATGACATCCCTAAGACGTTCAGTTTACGACGTAAGTCATCTTTAAGACGTCTTTAAGATATCTAATGTAACAAAACACACCGTCTTTAAGATGTCCTTTTAACGACATTATTAATAATAATAATAATAATATTTATTTATCCAAAGGATTACAAAGTAATATAGGATACGTCAAAAAAGAAAAAGTGAAAATACAATTAAATTAAATACAATAAACCAAATATAAACATCAGAATTCGTATAATAAATAATCCTGAATCGAATAAAAAGCATGCAATAACAAAATATTTTTTACATTTAACACAAATTTATCAAACACAGCATGGCGCCTATATAATACGGATTATTTACATACAGTTCAAGCCTGTGTGCATCATATTGCAAATTAAATCCAAACCTTGTATTATAATTATGATTACTGTTTAGAAGATTAAATTGACTTAAATTGTTTTTAACAAAAAAACTTTCAGTATAAACAAACATGGCACAGTTAGAATTCTTTGATCAATAAAATGCGCCTTACAACTCTCTCTGAAACTTAAACCTAGCATTGATCTTATAGCTCTTTTTTGATTTAGAAATACCCGTTGGGCACTAGAAGAGTAGCCCCAACATACAATACCATATCTAATATAGGATTCAAAATTTGAATAATAAAACGACTTACAAGTTGAAACATTACAAATTGATCGAAGTCTTCCAAGTGCAAAACAATTTTTGGAAATTCTCTTACAAACCTCAGACACATGATAGTCCCATTTAAGATTTGAATCAAGATTGATAAGATTATTAAGTCGTTGCTAAACGTTGTTATGACGTCTTTAAGATGTTAAAGACTACCTATTGAAAAAGTCTTGGTTATGCATTGCTACATCGCCAAAACGTTTTTAAAGTAATTAAAATGTAGCTAACACAGAGTAGAACACAGAGTCTACTCTGTGGTAGCTAATAATGTTTTTATTACAAATGGATATTATTAATTCCAGAAAAAATAACCAATTCACAAGAATGTCAGATATATACAGGGTGTTTCATAATATATGCGCAGGTCTTCAGGATGGGATAGCTCATCCAAAAAGATGAAAAAAGTCGCTATTAACTTACCCTCTAAAATGCACAATTTTCGAGATACAGGGTGTTGAAATTTTAGAATGATTTTTTACTCAAATGCTGAAATGTGCGAAATGCGTTACCTTTACGGTTTGGAGAATTAAGGCATATTATTTTACGCCAATATATCATTTACTATAATAGTCAACGATGCTTTCGAATTTTGTACTTAAAGTACTTTTTATGTACTCGGTACTCAGTCCAGAGTACATTTAAAAAAAGTACTTGTACTTTTACTTATTTAATTTAAAAATGTAAAAATGGACACGAGTACTTTGATTGTACTCGAGTACATTTTTTGTACTCGAGTACATTTGATGTACTGGAGTACTTTTGTTATACTTGAGTACTTTTTGTACTCGGCATCTTTGTGTTAAGTTAACATAACCACTACTATAGTGGCACTGCATATTCAAATTTATCGCCATAATTATAATGCTTTAGCAGCTAAAGTTTAACGGTTCGGCAATATTCGGAATAAATCCTCGATATATGGGCAAGTTGGTAAAATATCATTGTGGTGCCCTACTTTATAGAGATATTACATATTACAAGAGGTAGTGCTCTTTTTTATCTCTGGTAGTGACGTCATAATGTCATATGTAACGGTTTTTTTTTTAAGAAATTTGAGATTATTCTGCATTAGTATTATTTTAAGTGTTTTGGTTTTTGTTATACTGGGGTAGGGATGCGCATCGAATACAAAATCATCGATGTTGGCATCGATGTTGACATCGAAGGTTGAATATCGATGTCATCGGGTAGAAAACATCGATTTTTCCAAAAAATCGATGTTTCAAACTAAAACACAAGTCTAAGAAAAACATGTATAAAATATATTTTATTTCCAACTTATAAAAAAATACACATAAAAAAATAAACAAAATAAACTTAAATTCTCTTTTTTTAATTTAAAAACAAAATAAACCTAAATTATCAGTCAAGTTAAATCCCAATTTTGCCTATCCAAGTTCTGTAGAAACAGTAATTTAGACAATTATAAAGTTGACAAAATTTAATTTGTTATACAGTAACATCGCAAAGTCTAACATCGATGTCATTAAAACATCGAAAATGCAAGATCGATGTTAAAAAATCGATGTTCACTTCATTAAAATCGATGTTTGACGAACATCGAATATTCGATGCGCATCCCTATACTGGGGTAAGTAAGATTTTAAATATTGTTTTGTATTTGATTACCTACTCAATTAAGTTTTTGTTATATAAATATTTGGTACGCTTAAAAAATTAGGTTATATTTTTGCATTCAATCTTGTTTTTTTGCAGTCATAAATGCATGTTACTTTATTTTAAGTTCGTGCTTGCAGTTAAATAATGTTTATTAAATAAACTATATAATAAATTACTTGCATGAATAGGTATACCTATAGTTAATAAGGGTTATATGTAAAAGAATAGTTAATCTATTTTTTTATTGTTTTCTGTTTAAAATCAAAATAATTGGTTATTTGGAAAAAATATTCAAATCCTAAACCTTATATTTTGTTTTGTTTAACTTTTAACAACTTTTTGCTAGATACTGAAACCTAAATTACATTTTAAGAGTTTTTGGAAAAAGTACTTTGTACTTGTACTCGTGAGTACTTTTGGATTTTTTTGTACTTTGTACTCAAGTACATTTTTTTGAAGTACTAGTACTTTTACTCGGAACAGCTCTGGTACTAGGTGGCTATCTTTTTTCTTTCAATTTCTCTCTCAACTTTCATAGAATATAATGTCAAACAACTTCGGGCCAATGTTGGGTTTCAATATTGGACCATGCTAGAAAAAATCTGACAAAAGATATATTGCCCCAATATTATTACGAATATTAGGCCAATATCTTTGTGCTACTGGTGTAGGTTTTGTTTGATCGTAAGTTGTAGCAGTTCATTTATATCACTTTAAATGAGACATTTACAGATAACATCCCAGAATTGCCACTTTTACGATTCTATAAGCATTATTGTTACAGATCATCGTAAGCTATAAATTAACGAATTTACAGAAATTTTATGGGAGAACCCAGAATTGGCCTTTTAGCCTGACATGTTTAGCTTTTTACATTCGTGTCCGGCTTTTTGTTGTTCAACTAATGGTTATAACTGTTTCATTTTGTAACAAAACTGTAAACTTTAAAAAGTTATGTTTGGCTATTAAAAAAGATATGTTCCGCTTTAAGGACACAACGCCGAGTCCGGCCTAGCAACTCGGGGAACCAAGGGTAATTGTTGATACCTAAATAAAATAAAATATATTTTCACCGGTCAAATAGGTAGCGGTCAATTGACCATCTCCAACTCTACATCTAACTGACAAGAATTTTTGTTTACAATATACACTACAGTACAAATCAAGAATTATCAAGTAGGTATTATTTAAAAAAAAAATCACTCAGCAAAGAAATATTTATAGCTGATTATACAATATAAATAGTGTTTTTAAAAGTTCTTAGGTGCATACTTGAAAATATTGTTAAATTTTGAATATTTGAATTTCCTACAATTCCAGGCTTAACCCGACACAAAAAATGCTACTATAACATTAATGATTTTAAATGGGAGACACCATCTGGGGAAAGTAGCTTGCCTGGAATATATGTTTACTATTAATTAATTATGATGATCAAGTTTAATTTTGGTTTTACTTAATTTATTATTGTGTCTGTTATACTGTTATTATAATAATGTATATATGTTCCTAACATAGATAGATTTATATTTTCTAATGAATGAAAATAAATTTGATTTAATTCGCTATTTAAAGCATTCATCTTTTAAAAATCGGGTCACCCTAGTTCACCCATACTCAAACTGCGGCCCGCAAACCCTTTATGCGGCCCGAAGCCCGAAGAAGAATTATGTAAAACACTTTTTCTTACACGGTCTTGTGAGATAAAGAAGGGTAATATTTGTTCTGTAATGTCGAGATTTTTATTGCTCGTGGAGCGGCCAAGTACAGTGGAGTCTTTCCTACTTTGACTTTGACGAGTCCGAAATTTCTCGAATTAAAGTTATACAATACACGGCGTAATACGTTTTTGTAAGAAATGGTGGGGGATTTATAGTTTTAGGGCGCGAGTAGGCAAACACCTGCAAAAAGTCATTTGTTAATCTTGTGTTAGTATAAAATCCCTGGCACTTTCAACCCGCCGCTATGAAACAACTTAAATATAAATGTATCAGTGCGAACAATTGATAAAATAGTTAAAGAAGAAATTAGTCAGTGACTAATGAAAGTCTTCGGCGTTT